CCATGGCAGGGGGTCGGACTTGATGATCCGCTCAGGTCCCTTCCGACCCTACCAACTATGAAACTATCTCCAAAATCATTCATCCTCCTCACTCTACTTGAAAAAAGAAATTTGAGGAACAGGTAAGGTTGGGATTTTATCTCCTGATGTTATGGGGTCTTGCAGTGCTTCAGAAATCTATTATTTATCTCCCCTCCTGCTAGGACCACTGACTCATCACTGCACCTTCCTTTCTTCTGCTTCCTCCTCCCTCCCAGCAGCTGACCCTGCTGAGAACTGGCAATTCCTCACATACAGGTGGTACGTGCCTGATACATTGGGTGGCAGCAGCAAAACTCAGAGTCTTGGATCCCAAATTCAGAATAGAAAAGTGGAGCAGGAATGTCCTGCCAGCTGGTGACACTGCAAGGCATGGTTGTTGCGGGTCATAGAGACACACAAAGCAGAGTTAGGTAGAAGGGGATGTGCCAGAATCCCAGTGGCAATGACAGCCCTTAATAAGGGGTCACTCACCTGTTAACTCGGATGCTGCCCATGGCTCTTTTTATCATCGGGGTACCTCAGCTCACTGGGGGTAGTGGGAGTTGTACACGTGTGGCGTCTCACACAGAGGAGCTCACACGGGAACAGGTGGCTCTGGGGTTCACCCCTGCTGGGCTCTGGCACCCCCCATACCTGAGACCACTTCTGGGCATGCACACTAGAAGCAAGCAGAAGAAAGAAACACAAAGGAAAATCCTGTCAATGCAACAACCAAGGGGACAGGTCCCAGGCCAGGAGAAGGCAGTATGGAAATCCCAGCTCTTTGTGGCCACTGCAGAAAGGGACCTCACCATCTTGATGTGTTGCCAAGCATTGGCCCAGATACACACTAGGTATGAAGGGAACAAGGGTACACATATAGTAGAGCAGTTCTCAACCTCCACCATCCTTGCAATGTACCCCACACTCCCACCATATTTAGCTATAGAGGAAAGGGCAGTTGGGGTCAGAAAGCCCAGCGGGAGGACCCACCATTTAGTACATTTGTAAGGCACCTAGCATTAGACACGAAAATAACATAAAAGCTTACATCGAGACTAGAGATCAGCCAGTCTAAATACATCACAAACAAGGGCTAAAGGAGCTTGGGCAGACACAGTATCCTTCAGGAAAACTACCCAGCCAACGCAAGGAAAGAACACTTCCCAGTGACCACAGGACTCCTAAATCCTGCCCCCCGACCCTGCTGCACAACAGAGAAGAAAAATGGTGAATAGATACAAAAAAAGAAAAGTGACAAAAAGGAAGGGCCCAGAAAGAACCAGGGAGAAGCCTGCTGGAATAAACAGACCTTGCAACATGCCGCCAGATCTGCCAAGGAGGGATTCTGCCGGACAACCTGCAGAAGAGGTTTCAATGGACTGAGAAAGTTATGCCCCTGACCTGGTCTTGAGTGAACCGGAGGACCAAGGAACTGTAGGATCAAGAGCCGACTTGCCCTGGCTGACCGAAGCGGCTGAGAAAGGACATGCAGGAAGGGGTGATGACTCATAGATTATGAAGGGCTTTGTATACCAATACTAATCCTAAACTGTATTCTTTGGATTATAGGCAGCCAATGCAAATTGCCGAGTGCAGGCACAATGAACTGATTCCCTCACTCCCAGCCTAAGGAGCAAGTGAACTACTGTTGCAGCCTCCAGGTCAAATACAAGAAAAGCCCTGTTAAGAGCACCTTAAAGTGCTCTTAGAGTTGGATGTGCCAATGGCATGGTGAAGGACATGGGAGATGATGTGTCAAGGGCGACATCTGAGAGAAACAGTTGCATTCTCTCAGATAAACTGGGGTAAGAGCCAGATGTGTTCCTCATTGCAAAATGGCTCTCCAGGCTGCCAAGGTTGAGTCTGTGTTCTCACTAAGTTCTGGTGGACATATTACCAGATTAACACACACAGAAAAACAATGAGCAGGGTCTTCAAAATGCCACCTCCTACTGACAAACCTCACCCGTCTCTTGCCTCTACTTCCTGCCTAACACATGCTCTAAAACATACTATGCAGATATTTGTGAATTACATTTGTGATTCAGTGATATTTGTGATTGTGAAACATACCATGCAGATATTTGTGAATTACAGAGAAAATGTGTCTGCTTTTTGTCGTTGTAAAATGGCAGTTACATTAAGCAGAAGAGGTCTCTCATAAAGCTGGGCTGTTCGGACCAAGGAATGCGGCTAAACGTCCTGCTTATATGAAGGGGCGGGTAGAATAATAGACTAATAGCAAATGAGGGTTGAAAGGGACCTGAGGAGATCATCTAGTTCAAACCCCTGCTCAGAGCAGCACTAGCCCCAATTATATCATCTCAGCCAAGGCTTTGTCTAGCCAGGTCTTAAAAACCTTCAAGGATAAGATTTCACAACCTCTCTGGGTAACCTATTCCAGTGCTTTACCAGTTGCTTTTGTGAGGTCCATTTAACCCTGAAGGTTAATGTGCATGAAAGATAAGTAAGGGAATATTAACCATATAGAAATGGATTGTTCCTGGAATAAGGAACCATTACATTGTTTCCAGAGATTACTTAAAAAGCAAACATAGTCAGAAGATGATTGGATAAGGTTTATCTCACAAACACAGGCGGATCCAGGATTTTTTAATGGGGAGTATGGGAGCAGCGACCAGCACTGCATGAGGTGGC